GTTTTCCTTCCCTCCTGCCTCTGTAGGTGGGAATAGAAATCCTGCTGGGTTTGTGGGGAGCCTCTGTGGGATTTTGTTCCCAGATTTTGGCATCGACTGGGCAGCAGGAATTGAGTAATGCTGCTTTGGAAGCATTTCTTCAGCACAAAGAGGAGATGCCTTGTGAAAGTGGTGGTGCTGCATTTCTGCCCACTTCTGTGTAAACAGGGATGTGGAAAGGATTTTATGAGTTCCCTTTTGTTCCACTTTTTCAGCACAAATTCAGTTGCTTGTCATGGTGTTTGATGCCTCTTTCCATGAATGAAAATTGAATAAATCTTTTAGTCCAGAGACCTCATTTATGATTATGGCCTCCTACAGAAAGGATTTTACTTAGGGTTTGTTGTTTGTTGTTTTTTTTTTTTTCCCCCCAACATAAAAATGACTTGCAGCCTTTCTGCTGTTTTTGGTCAAGTATCATAAACCAAAATGTTCAGCCCAGTTTCAGGAGACTGAGATTTTGCCACCTGGAGAGTGGCATTTCCATGTCACATCCCACATAAACTGATCCTTCATCCAGGGATTTAATAAAGGAAATCCTCTAGGTATTATATATTATATAATAATATATATAATAATAATATTAGTATATTATATAATCCTCTAGGCGAAATATTGGATTTTATGGAAAAAGGCTGGACCACAATCAACCCTCCTGATTTATCTAGAATTACTTGACTTTTTCAGGAGGAGCACAAAATTCTCATTTGGATTGAAACACTGATCTGTTGAATCCTTTTATTAGGATGGATCCAGAAGCTGTAAAGAGGGAATTTTAAAAAATATTATTATCTGATTGATGTGGCTTTCCAAAATGTCTCTTCTGCCCTTGCCCACATCCAGAGCAGGTTTTACCCTGACCTTTACCAGCCAGGAATGGCAAATCCTGGAGGGTTGGAATTGGCCTTTTGCTTTGTGTAGCTGCTGACATTTTGGGAAGAGGAGGAGATGCAAGCTCCTGCTTTTTTGGAGGAGGAGGAGGCCAGAAATCCAGAGGATTTAGCACCTGGTGTGAGCAGAGGGAGGGAATTGTGTGTCCCTTCCCACTGAAGTGAGCAATGAGATGAGAAATACTCCAGTATCAGCCAGAAGGGTGAAAATCCCCACCTGGAAAACAGGAAATAGTAAAAAACAGGGAAAAAAAAAACCCACACCAGGAAATGGGAAAAAACCCTCAGGGAATAGGAAAACTAGGAAAGCAGAGCTGAATAAAATGTCTGCAAGCTCCCTGGCTGTGTTTTCCCTGGATGGTGGGGCAGGGTTGGAAAAGCAGACGAGATGACGTCGCTGCTGTCCTGGCTGTGCTTCCTGGCTGTGCCTCAGTGCTGGAGTGTTCCACACTCAGCCTTCCATGCTGGATACAATGAAAAGTGCTTCAAAACGACATGGAAAATGCTTCTCTTGTGGTTAGAGAAAACAGCAAATAATAATATTTTTCAAAAAACCCTTAAGGGATGATGCCAGAAGGTCCTGGGAGCACCAAAGGTGCCACAGCCTCGCTGGAGCTTCTCCTGCAGCCCTGAGCTTCTCCAACCCCCTTTGTTTTCCTCTTCCCCTTTCCTGGGGATCTCATCCAGCTGTTCCATTTACCTGCTGGAATTTCCCATATATTTCTGGATAAATACCCATGGCAAAAAACCTCATGTGCCCCTTTGCCAGTGCAAATATACTCTGGGAATCTCCTGAATTAGGAGCTTTAACTTTTTGTGTCCCCTGGGTTGGGAAGTTGGAGTTTTGCAGGATTCAGCATCCTGAAAAGCCATCAGTATCATGTATCCCTAATTCTGTGCAAAGGTTTTTCTGCTCCTGGACTCATTTATTGGGATACTGTGTAGAGTCAACTCTTTGAGCTTTTGAGAATAAAAGCAGTAAATAAAAATCCCTTTCCCCCTCCCTGCCTCTTTGTACTTGGTGGATGGCACCTTCTCTTCTGGAGTTCTGTAGCACTGCTAGAATAAAGTGAAGCTTCAGGGTAGGTTTTGGAAGGTTATTTCAATAAAACCAACCAGAAGTTAAACAACACACAGAGTAGGTGAGAGGCCACAGAACACAAACATACAACTTGATAAATTAAACAAGATTTCTGTAGGCTGGTAATGTTTTTCATGGTATTTCAGCTAGCTGGGAGAAAGTTCCTGGAGCTCTTTATGTAATATTAGGAATTATCCTGTTGGTTGTCCCTAAAGCCTGTCCTGCAGGACATGAGCTGCATTTCCTGCCCTAGAACAGACCTCATCTTACAAAATCAGTGCAAAAATCTTTACCTAAAGGTCCATTTTTCTAATTGTAATCTTTTTCTTTGGATAAATTCACTGCAGTGGATGTTATTCACTGGGCAAGTTCAGCCCAGACGTTGAGCAGGAAAAGGTTGTGGCACTGTCAGCACCACCAAAACCCGGGGGTGATTTAAGGTTTGTTATTAACCCACAGAGTAAAACAGGAATAGCTTGGTTTTATGTCTCTGGGTAATCCAGTTCTGCTGCAGTTGCTGGAGATGAAAAATGAATGACTGGAAGAGCTGGGGTTTGAATCCTTTGGAAATGCCAAACGATAAGAACAGTTGCAGAAGAGTGATGCTGGGTTTGCTATAAACAACAAATGTTGCGTAACACTGGCTGTGTTTTTCAAAACCAGATGTTGCAGCAGTTGACACCAGGATTTCTGCAAGTTATTTGCTCATCCTTCAGCTGCTTCACCACATTCCCCCTCTCAATACCCATTTTACACATTCTTTCTCATTATAATCCTGTAGTACTCGTAATTCCAATCAATATTCAGTGTATTTTAGCTGTGATCACAACTCAGGGGGCCCTGAATTCTCTTAAATAAATGTACTGAGGTAGATTTTTTTTAAATGAGCCTTTTCAAATCTTCATGTTCAAACTTTCATGCTGCTAAATATTGTCTGGATAGCTCAGCAATGTCTGGTGAGCAAATTTATCCCTGTGGTGCTCAGCATGTGGCACAAAATCATTTCAGAAGCATGAGAGCAACCCAGTGAAGTATTTTGAACGGAACAAACCTCTCAAAAAAGCAGAATATGCAGGAGAAAGCAGTAAGTAATGAATTGACATTATTCCTAGGCCCAGGGATTGATGTAATTGTAATTGGGAATTACATGGAGCAGGAGCAGTTGTGAGCATCAGAACAGGAACGTTCCATTTTTCCATGTAAGGACAGCCACAAACACCTGCAGAACTGAATTTGGGGACTTTCAAAATTTTCACTGCAAATGAGACTCAAAGAAGAGATTTTTAAGCAGCCAAGACCCAGGTGGAAACATCTGTAAACGAGCAGGACCTGCTGTGCTCCCCTGAGACCCCATCCTGCAGAGCTGCATCCAGCTCTGGCATTCCCGGGGTCAGGAGCTGCTGGAATGAGTCCAGAGGAGACCCTGGAGCTGCTCCAGGGCTGCAGCCAGCCTGGCAGAGCTGGGGGTGCCCACCTGGAGAGGAGCAGCTCCAGGGAGAGCTCAGAGCCCTGCCAGGGCCTGAAGGGGCTCCAGGAGAGCTGGAGAGGGACTGGGGACAAGGATGGAGGGATGGGACACAGGGAATGGCTCCCACTGCCAGAGGGTGCATTTAGATGGGATTTTGGGAAGGAATTGTTCCCTGGCAGGGTGGGCAGGCCTGGCACAGGTGCCCAGAGGATCTGTGGCTGTCCCTGCATCCCTGGCAGTGCCCAGAGCCAGGCTGGACAGGGCTTGGAGCAACCTGGGATAGTGGAAGGTGGCGGGGGTTAGAACTGGATGGGCTTTAAGGTCCTTTCCAACCCAAACCATTCTGGGATTCTCTGAGGGCACAATAAAAAAAATAATTAAAAGGTCTCAATTAAACCTTCAGGCCACAACTGTTGGGAAACAGAGGGAACTCAAGCTCCAGATGGGCTTTGGGTGGAGCCTCCCTGGGGACAGGACAGGGGAGGTGACAAAAGCCAGGTCCCTGTTGCAATGGTGCTGCTGTAACTTCACTGCAGTGTTTTGTTGGGCACCCAGGAGGAAGTTCCTTGCTATAAACATTGGTTTGAGTCTTAATGATAACAAAAAGTTAACAATAAATAGTGCTGAAAACAGGCTAACAGTTTGTAACTGGTGATTCTCTGGATATAAAGGGAAAGAATTCTGGGCTCTCCTTGTTAGGACTGCTCAGTGAAAACACACCATGCAGGGCACATGTCCCTTCACGGGTCCAATTTTAGTGGCTCTGGCTTGGGATAATTCTGCTTTTGTAGTTTTAAACCCAATGTAAATTGGTTTTTTGTAGGAAAAAATCCATGTGTTTATCCACTTGACAGCAGTCAAAAGGTAGGATGAATTTTGAAGAGAATAGAAAGTTGATGAAATCAAGGCTTTTCCTGGTGAATTCCTGATCTGGGTGTTTTGGGATGTGTGTGTCTCTAAGAACTCAGCACATCAGTTATCTGGTGTGTGAGATGACCTGTCCTGGCATTCCATCCTTTCCACACTCAAATCCTGCTTTTACTTGCACCTTATTCCAAGGGAGGCTGAAATTATCTGTGAAACTGCAGGAAGGGAGGAGTCAGGATGTGAACAGAGCCATGAAACCACACTGAACTTGTAAAACCAAGCCCTGAAAACATAGAGAGTTCTTCCTCTTCCCAGTTTCCCCGGGAGGGATGGTGTTTATTCCTTGATGTTATTAAGATAATTCCATGTGTGTGTAGTGTGTTATTACAGTGATGAGTGGGGTGATAAGAGCTTTGCTTGGAGGGGATTATTTGGATTGAAACTGCTTGGAATGAAACTTTCCCAAGGCTGGAAAATAGCATGAAGTTGTGGTACCAACATTCCTGAGGGAGGAAGTTGGAACTGGGCAACTGGAACACCTCCACAGGTCATGGGATGCTCTCAAAGCAAGGCCTGGCACTTCCCAAAAGTCATCACTTCTGCCTGTATTTAGGGATATCCTCCTCATTCTTCTTCTCTCTTTGTTTTTCCATAGTGAGTGTTGAAAAAGTGGAATTAAAGGGGCTGACACACAAGAAGAATGAAAGAAATGTTGAGTATTCCTTTGAGGTAAGTTTGGGTTTCCTTTCCTGTGAAAGAAGAAATACTTAATACTTAAGGAGCAGTTAAGGAGATTTTCAAACTTTATTGCTGGATCCCAAAAATCCTTTGTGAAAGCAGAGCTCCTTTGGGACTGATAGTTTTTAATCAATGATTTGAAAATCATAAATGGCTGTGGATGATGCAGATGGGCATTGGCCAAAAAAAAAAAAAAAAAAGCCATTTTAATGCAGGAAATTTTGGCAGTGTTTATTTAGGGGGAAATATGATGCCACACTTAGAGGATGGCTATCCCTATCTATATCCAATGTCCATTCTTCTGCTGGAGTGCAGAAGCCAGAGAGAATTTAGGTCTTAATCTGGACAGAGAACAATGTGGGTTCTGAGGGCACAGCTGCTGGAAAGAAGCAGAGAGGGAGCCTCTGGTGGGATTTGGTTCCAAAAGGTTGCAGAGTTCAGAAAAGCTTTGGGGATTCTTCAGGGCTTGAGCGGTGGGTTCTCTCTTCTCTTCTCTTCTCTTCTCTTCTCTTCTCTTCTCTTCTCTTCTCTTCTCTTCTCTTCTCTTCTCTTCTCTTCTCTTCTCTTCTCTTCTCT